AAACAGAAAATAACGAAAAGCCTCTGCGGCTGGCGCTTTCCAAAAATATTGTAAACAATCTTTACTATAATATTTACATCTTTTTTTGTGATTTCCATCAAGCTACGCAGTATACAAAAGTTTGCGTTCGTGGAGTACATGCAGAAGTGCAGTAAAAAAAGACGTGTGTGGGCTTCATAGCCTTGGCTGTGCTGCCACAGAAAGTTGTTGCCGAGGTTACACAATCAATGTACAAGGAATTCCATAAACGGAACAAAAAAGGCACCAGCAAAAAAACATATTTCAAGCAGGAAAGGTTAGGTTTAAGATTTAATGGATACGACATAGTCGGTATCGCATAGTGCCCTACGAGGTAGGTTGTTTCAGTCTGCTACTGCTTGAGAAAAAAAGGAATGTTTAAGTATATTGGTTCTTGCATTGTACGGCATCAAACGGGCAGAGTGGCGATGTCTTTTTTGGTGAACAGTGAGCGGGCTATAAAGTTCGGGAGGAAGAAACCTTAATATTATGCAGTAGGGAATTAAAGATAATCTTATGAATTTTTCTTCTTTGTTGCAAGAACGGAGGGTTGTGATGGGCCAATGGGACACTTGGAGAGTCATTGAAACAATATTTATAAAAGATAAAGCCTAATGCCTTACCGTGCATATTTTCTGGCACATCGATATTACTTTTGGTATAAGGATTGCATACGATAGCTATATATTCTTGTTTACGATGAACGAGTGAAATGTAAGCTGTTGGACGGGTGTCAGCAGGGGCGTGTTTCTAATTGTGTCGGAGGTCTAATTTTCAAAAGCGTTATAAGTCACCTAGATGCTAACAACCTGCTCAATTCTCAGGAACACGGATTTAGGTTTGTCTTGTCGACAGTTACACAGTTAGTCAAGTTGACCAACAACATTGCAAATGCCCTCAACTCTACAGGACAAACACGTGTCGTTTTTTTTTCTGGACTATGCAGAAGCCTTGGACATTCCCCACCACGATCTCATTATAAAAATGTAAGCAATCGGTATTGATACGTAGCACGAAAGCTTCAATACGTAGCACGAAAGCTTGAATATATACATGGGGCACATGCGTTCAATAACATCATAGAAGGCCACCATCATACACTATCAAGAAATACAGTTTATCCTCTCACAGCGTAGAACCGATAAACTGTATTCACTTGGGAAAAAAGATACAGAGGGAGTGCTCACACAGTGATCCTGATTTTTTTTCTATGAAAAAGGCCTCTAACACATCACGTAAACTTTTTCTTGCGCTTCTGTCTTGATTATTTCTTTAAGAGAATCGTTTGTCACAACCACGCAAAAAGACATAGCAACCAGGTGCGCATGGTTGTGATCTTGTTTTGTTAATTTTGGGAATGTTCGCTAAACCAGTCATTATTACATATTTCGTTTTGCCCGATGTTCACCTTCCCGCAGGATAGTTGTATCGAGCACATGACCCCATTTAAACTTTTCACAAAGGGCCTTTCATGCTACTTCTCGCAGCCACACTTTTCGCCATTGCAAATACGTTCTCAAATTTTCCCAATTTTCTCGGTTGACGAAAATACCATCAGTACGCCGTGCCTATCCACGTATTTCTTAGAATTCTGCGAGAGCTTATGAATTCATGACACAACTTGTGCCCTTGGACTTCGCAAAGTTAGTGATATAAAATTCTGGCAAACTAATGTTAGGAGATTTCTTCAGTGCAAGCTAAATTACCTGGCGGTAGATGACCCTTTCCGAACGAAGGAATCAAGTGATGTGTGTGATTTCTTGCGGTCCCCTTATGGTTCAGGCAATGCCTTGTCTGAAGATGTTGTATACCTTTATCATTCTGTGCAGTATGACAAGCCTCTATAAAATCCTGCATGGAAGAGCATGGCGATGTTCCTTTTATCAATGACACAGGGGTTGAACCTTTTTATCGCATTTAGAGTTTATCTTTGTGTAACCATTATATTGTTTGATGAGAAGCCAGTACTTCCCCGGCAGGAAATCTGGATTAGATTCTTTGTCCCGCCAGTTCTCAGCCATATATATTTTAGTCAAACTAGATAGGTACTTGGATAAGGCTTTTAAAAGGGCGGAGTTTTTAAAGGTTTTAAGATACATAGAATTTTTTTCATTCTTTTAATTCAACACAGAGAACAGGGAGCACAGCTCTTGAATTTATTTTACACGTTTTTAAAAGACTAAGATGAGGGCTTTTCTTCACTTTTGAATTGCCAGAAGAAGCTTGTCTTCAATGTTTACACTTGAGCTTCACGGTAAATGATGAGCATTTTTGCTGTTTTCATCATCCTCATGTTAAGAAGGAACTATTGCCGTGTGATTCTGGCCCCTTAAAGATTGTGAAGAGGGGCGTTGCCTCTCTTTGCTTCGATTGGGCGCTGAGCATGTCGTGCCTATACTGCATGGAACGGTACTTTCTTAGCCGATTGGAGGCTGCTTGCTTTTCTTCATCGATCATTAAAGCCATTGCTAAACCACGTTTGCCGAAGTTGAAATTGGAACACGGGCAGCGATCACTGCTACCTAGTCATCAAGTAATTACGTCACAAGTTGTGATATATGTCTATAGGCTCTCGCAGAATTTAAAGAAAGTCGCGGGCAGGCACAGTGAACCGATGGTGTTTTCGGCACCCAAGAAAATCTGGAAATGGTGCCAACGTATTGGCGATAGCAAAATATGCCAGGCCTGCACGGAAGGCGCAGCACCGTCACAGCGAAACTGGAATAGTGGCCTTTCGGAGCCTTTTCAAAACACTCATTGCGTGACTACTGCAAGCACACTTGCTTGATACCCACTAGGGCATTAGTAATAAACATTTCGGTAGTAGGCTGGCATTTGTTATGCTATTTTTCGTCATTATTCTAAGAAGCGTAGTATCCTCTAAACACTCGCAAAGAATTCAGTGCCAATCGATCATGCAGTCGCTGACGACATGAAGAATTATGGCTGAAGTGGGTATGCACCAAATTTAATAGGGGAACATGAACAAGCTTTTGCACTGGGTTGGAGCTTTGCATGACCCACTCGTTAGACTATTGGCAGTGTGCGGCGACTAGTTGCTCCTTCACTGTTTTAAAACGCGTTATAACTCGTATTCACGCGATCGTTTTCCCGACATCAAGCCTGCCTAAGACAAGTTTGCCAACAAGTCAGAAGCACCAGTGTAGCTCAGTGGTAGAATGCTGGACTGGCTCTCAGCGGACCCGGGTTCGAGCCCCACTGTGTCTATAGTGCGAGGTTCTTTTATTATTTCTGTGATAGTGGTTACGGACACTGGCGGCGGTGGCAGCGGCGGTGGCAGAAGAAAACGGCGCTGCGCGTGACCCACGGTTCAATCTCATAAAACCTTGCGCTGTAAAACGCATTATTACTCGTATTACCTGCTAAGGCCAGTTTAGAAATGAGTTCCAAGCATTAGCGAGGCTCAGTGGTAAAATACCGGCGAAGGCACGAAGCAGACCCGGGTTCAAATTCCAATGTGTCATTGGTGTTTTTTAGTTACCGAGTTTTTTCGTTCGATAGTTGTTATGGACACCGGCGGCGGGCAACTACGGCGCCACGCGTGACCCATGTTCTGATCTCATAACAAATTTCGCTGTCAATGCACCATATAAGCACCGCTTCGCTATCTTTGCTCTCAAGTGAATCCCAGTTTATCACTTCTAGGCTGTGAGAGGATAAACTGTATGTCTTGATAGTGTACGCTGTGGACCTGCTATGATGGTAATGCGCACATGTGCCCCATGTATTTATTCAAGCCTTCGTGCTAGGAATAAATCAATTGGAAGTCAGCTTTGTGCGTGCTTCACCTTCCACACACACATTCAAATTCTGCGTACTTTACATTCCACACACATTCCACTTCACATTCCACATTCCTGAAGGATGTCTTTCTAGGAGAGTAAATCAAACACCTCGAAGCAGATGACTCAGTTGGCGCCCTCATATGGAGTGCCCTCGGGGATATGGAACACGTACTTTAATGGTTTTCTTCTAGTCTAGCAAGTATGCCCGAGGAAAGTTCTTTTCTAAAGGCATCTGTTCGTACGCAAAGAGTGATGGAAATCGCAGTGGTTCAGCGAATTGTATAGGGTATTCATTATTGTAAAAATTCCGTCAGGTCACACGATCTCTTAGAGTCCAAGCACAACTGTTAAACGACATGAACGATGGTAAGGCACAACGAAGAATCGACGAAGAACGATGGAAAAGGCACAACGATTGATTGATATGTGGGGTTTGACGTCCCAAAACCACTATATGATTATGAGAGATGCCGTAGTGGAGGGCTTCGCAAATTTCGACCACCTGGGGTTTTTTAATGTGCACCCAAATCTGAGTACACGGGCATACAACATTTCCGCCTCCATCGAAATGCAGCCGCAGCAGCCGGGATTTGAACCCGCGATCTGCGGGTCAGCAGCCGAGTACCTTAGGCACTAGAACACCGCGGCGGGGCGGAAAAGGCACAAGCCAAAGCGCAAGTATAGTCAAATGTTCTTTCCCTTGGGACGTCTTCTCTGAAATTGGGTGACAAGAACATTTGCTGAGACTTAGGCAAATTTCTCGTTGAGAGCAGAATTCAGTATTAATATTATTTCTTAAGCAATTATTGATTCAAAATTATTTTTTACTTCGTTTTACTATGTGTTGTATAATTACAATAGTAAATTTATTATTAAAGTCTGGTGGCGAATGATTTCTTTTTTAGCCTTTTTCAAAACTGAAAAAAATCGCCATATATTAACCGCAGGTCTCGAGACTAACCCCCATAGAGGGTGGGAGCCAAACATTAAGGTACAAGCAAGCAAGCATGATCCCAAACTTAATAAACAAAACGGGAACCACGTTATACCTTGCTATTCATCTGTAGTGGGTTTGAGCTATCGGTAAGAGGCAAGACCAGAAGCAAGAGAAGAGGAGGGTGAAGAGCGGGAAGCCGCTCGCTTCTTCCGCAGGTCATCTACAACGAATCAGCAGTGATGGCGACTGAGAAGTATTCGGCAGCCTCCTTTCAGTCGGTCCTGGAGAAGGCCAACGAGCAGGCGACCAAGGCGGAGCAGCATGACCGCGAGAGGAAACTGCCGCAAGCGTTCATCATGTACAAGCAAACCCTGCAGACATACCTGACCGTCATCGAGGACATGTTGTTCCAGTGCATTCGTTTTCAGGAGCGCAACGAAGACCTGCTGCGGATCATCACCCCGAACGACAAGTACCGCAAGCCATCGCACCCACAACCCGACCGCTCGAAGCAGGACACGGACGTCAATGACTTCGAGCCGACGTCGAACATGAACAGGCTGCCAGGAGTGCTGTCCATCACCCCCGACAAGCCCGTCAAATGGAGTGACGTGATCGGTCACGAGACACCCAAGTTCATTCTGAAGCTCGCCATCCTGGATCGGTGCCCCATTAAACACCCCGTCATGTTTACCGGGAAGCGTAAAACACTCAAATCGATCCTCCTTTTTGGCCCTACCGGCTGCGGAAAGAGCTACCTCACCAAGGCAATGATTGGTGCGGCGAAAGACTGGGTGTGCATTGACGTGAACGTTGCCTCACTCATGAGAGACGCCCCGGAGGGGGCAGAAGACCTGTACGTGAAGTCACTTTTCAAGGCAGCCAGGCTGGCCGCTTGGTGTCTCCTGGTTTTGCAGGACGTCCAGGAGCTCTTTAAGCCAACCCAGAAGCCCGAAGAAGAGCACAGGTAGCCAAGTTTTCTGCGTCATTTGTAGATGGTTAAAACTTATATTGTTACGCTCATAAGCGTTTTTTTTTTGCTACACTGCTGAGGTTTTTAGCGCGAGGTGGAGCTAGGTGAATGGTTCGCAAGGTGATGCATGCAAACGGGACTCGCGTTGCTGTTACATTCCTGCAGGTGGGGGTCAGGCTCCCTCTTTATGTTTCGCACTCGTGCGCCCTACTGTAAAGAGATCTAATATTTAAAAGACCAATTACTGGAGGGCATAGAGATCAGGCTAGTTGGTACTGATCTATAAGTTCTGTAAGTGCGAAAGACACGTACGTAAGAACAGCGCGTTCTCTATTTTATGAATCCTAGCCTTATGTGCCAGAACCAGCTGTATAATGCCCTCTCCTCTAGCCCTTTCCTGCTCAGCTTCTGCCCTTCGCCTAGCCTTTATGAGTGCTTTGTGGTCATGGGGAAGAGAGCCCATCATGTATTGCCTCAAGACGAAAATAATATGAAGTAATTTTTCGTTCAGTTTTGCACAGATCCTTGGGGCGGCGCCTCGGATTTCTCATGTTCATTATGTTGGCTGTCACGCTGGCTTCGTAAAAGCAATGCCCCCTCCCTCTATTTTATCAATGCCAGCCAGATGCACCCGATCCAGTCCTTGATCAACCTCTCCTTTAGCCCTTCTTTGATTTCTCCCATCGCCTAGCCTTCGCGTGTGCTCTGTTGTCATGAGGAAGTACGTCTCCTCATGCAGTGCCTCACGACGGAAATCATACGAAGCAATTTTTGGTCAAGTTGCGTACAGATTGGTGGGGTAGCGTCTTGCGTTCCTCGTGTTTCCTATTTGGTCAGTCATGCTGGCTCTGTAAAAGATACGGCATTTTGATTCAGCGCATCGCCGTTCGTGGCGCTGTGCGGGCAACCAATGGGGAAGCGTCACTGCAACTCTACTAGACGCGCTGTGCCGTGATGCGGTGGCGGCGTTGCTTTGAGCCACAACAAAGGAGCACGAAGGAACAAATTTGACAAGCGTACGATATTGCTGTGGGAAACACGTTTATTGTGTCTCCGAGGCAAAGCGCTCGAAAGCACGTGTGGCGAAACCAGGGCGACCCCTCATGCCGCGTCACGACCATTTCCTGAACTAAGGCGAACCGGCAGCTCCCGTTGATCAGCACGTGTTTGCACTGGCACTGAAAAAAAGAAAGGAGGCGTTCGTAAAAGATATGGTCTTCTGAGATAGCGTGTCGCCATTCATGGTGCTATGAGGGCAACCAATGGGGAAGTGTGACTGCATGCGCCGACTTTCAGAGTGCTGTGATGCCGCGGCGGCATTTCTTTGAGCCGCAAAGAAGTAGACTGAAGGAACAAACCTGACGGACGTGTGACATTGAATATGGAAACACGTTTATCACGTGTCTGGGAGTAAGCACGCGGAAGCACGAGTGACGCGAGCAGCGTGACCTTTCAAATAGTACCCCATGATGACCACTCCCTGAATTAGGGTGGACCGAGGGCTCCCTTTGAGAAACGCACGTTTGCATTGGCATTGAAAGTAATAAATGAGGCGTTGTTAAGACGAAAAAAGTACACACTACACGTTTGTTCTGTGTACAGCCGGTCAAATCTGACTATAGTGCCCGAACGATAACTTTTCCGTGTGCAGGCCCGTATGACAGAGCCAAGTGCATGCAGGGCGTAGGTGAGTGCATGCCCACAAAGCGTGTTCAACGGGGCCCGGTAGCTCGAGGAGGCGAATAGTTTCGAGGTAGTGTTTTTTCTAAAATGATTGTTGTAGCTATGAATTGAGGAAATACCTTTACAAGATACGCCCATACAAAAATTGATGAGATAAGCAGTAGAACATGGTTCATCTGTGGTGCGCTGATAAGACGGAAGAGCCTGACAGACGAAAGTGCTGAGAGCGCTTTATGGGCATGCTCTTATCCTCGTCCTGCTTGCGACTCGGCTTCGCTATACGGCACCGACTTTCACAAGAGTCGTCGCTCACACACGGTAGATAAGATTTGGCCTATTGTACATCGTTCGTCTTACGAACGCATCTTTTGTGCTTAGAGAAGTTATAATTATTCGCCGCTGGCAAGAGCGCTATTCACTGTTCTTTTCTAAATATTCCAAAAGACGACACGTTGCTGAATAAACTGATTCTATATCAGGCCAAGATGTTAAAGTTAACTTTCTTTAAGTCAACGCTTATTCAGAGTTGTAGCGTGTGCGAATTATGTGAATGAGAAGGTCAACAGTGTTTAGGTGTACATATTATTTTTAGCGTCTTCTGAAGGTTTACTCTAATATAGTTATCGTGTTTCATCCTTGATTCGAAATTCACATATTGAATGTGTGATTGGGGCCTTGGTAACCTGCTCGCCAGTTTTATGGGCACAGTACACGCCTGTATCGATGATGACTGCTTGGTAAAACCAGCCTCAACGAATGGTCAAGTGACCTTATCAGTATCCTGATAGCAAAGTGGGTCTACTGGCAATAGTCACTCAAAACATGAAGGTAGACACTGTGACATTTGCACCACTTCAAGGCACTCTGTTTCCTTTCTTGCTGCGCTCGTATCACAACTGCAGCTTCCGTAGTACATGGATTCTTAATGTAACCAGTATAGTTATTTTTGCAGCAATATTCAGTGCATGTTCGATACTACAACGCATGTATTTTATATTCAGCATTCTCTCGTCTGTTCGTGTTCAAGCATGTTGCTCTTAGTCGGCTCAGTGGGTAGCAGTTCTTATTGAATTTGTAGGAAAAAAAAACCTATATAAAAACGACAGTGAAGGTTTAGCTTAGAGGACTGAAATGGAAGCGAAAGTCGTTCTTGATTATGTTTGAATAGTATAGGTCACCTGCAATCAAAATCAAAATTCATTTGTAAGAAGCGAATCATGTCATCATATTCGTTTACGCTTATAGCTGGCTGAGTGATATGATACAGGTGGTAATGTGGCGTTTGAAGCTACCTTAAAAGGCTCCTCCGGCAAGATTCAGCAAAAAGTCTGAACATAGAAAAAAGCATTCATGATCGCGTCTGACTTTGTTTCCCGGGAAACATGTATATGAGACCGGGGTACACTCCCACACGTTTCCAATTCCATAGGTAAAATAAAATGGCAGCATATCCATGCGGTGAATGATTGAGACTGGGGCGAAGCGTCCATCCGTCCATTCGTTCTTGCTTCCGTCCATCCATGCGTCCGTCTGTGTGACTGTGTGTGACCGTCTATGCGTTCATCCGCCCGTCCGTGCGTGCATCTGTTCGTGCTTCCGCACGTCCATCCGTGCGTCCATCCCTGCGTTCGTCCATGCATCCGCCCCAGCGTCCATCGATACGTCCATCCATCCATGCAGTCATTCGTGCGTCCGCCCATGCATCTGTCTATGTGTCCGTTCGTCCATCTAGTCAACACTCCGAGTACCAACATCTCGCATGTTTTTATGATATATTCCGCATATAGAAGCACCGCCATCCAGCAGACATTCCGAGGACTAAATGAGAGGTGGCACACGCACACTTTCTTACGGCTTGCGCTTCGTGTCTACTTCCCACCTTTAACCACCTCGAGTTCATGGTATATACTAGTTCACTATATCCATGGCACTGCGGCCCGATGCTCGCTAAACTTTTCTGAAACCAAGGAGGTTACAACCAGCGAGTATGACGTAGCAACCCTTTCTTGTCAGATAGTGCTCAATGTACGTGCCATTGGCTGCTAATGGGGAATGAGAGACAGGGGAATGTGGCTTTTAGTTAACGTGGACGCTGCGAACTTTTTATCGTTCAACAACACACAGGAGAAATCTCCCACTGGCACCACCCTGCAGGTCAAAAGTCATGTTACGCACTATACTGGTGCCGCTTTAAGGAGCTTCGCCCTTAAAAAAGCCCTCATTAGCACACTCACCTAAACTCGGATCGAGTCGGGGGTGTGAATATGAGTGAGTACGCGTGTAAAAAGATCGACAGAGTCTAGTTGAAGAAAATTTTAGTGACTCCTACTTCGAGCATATTGTAGCGAAGTTTCGGGGTTGTTTAAACTAGACGCATCTGGAGACCGTCGACGCGAACAAGCGTGGGAGCTATTCCGCACAGGCAAGTGATGACAAGTCGACACGAGTATTTCGGGGAGCACTTATTGGGGGTTTATTTATCTAACACAAATTGAATTTACATAATGAACTAGGTCACAAATACAAAACATGGAAAATGGTGGCATACCCCTAGGCTTGCATGACTGGTCTCCGGTGGTGAGATGCGCTGTTGCCCCCGTCTCCGCTCACCTCAAAAAGGGCTCGAGCCACTGCTTAAATAGGGTTTTCCAGCATTCACGGTTGCGTGGACCAACCAGGCAAGTCGAGGATAACCAATTCAACATGAGTTTTCGTGGTCGCCTGAAGCCTGCCTTGCGACAAAACTTTGGGAGCTTCTGGAAACGGGCGCATTCTCCGAAACGGCCCGGACGCGCTAACAATTCCTAAAATTTCGGTCCCCTTTTCCCCCGGAGGACCGAAGCGGCGGCTCGTTCGTTAGAAGCGTGGGGGGCTCAGTATTTAGAAGGAGAAAGGCACCTAATTTCTGCAGTCTGGTCAAAATCACGGTGCGGTGCCTGTTTTGGCGGGAAACGCACAGTGACCGACCGGATGCAGCCCTTCCAGTTCAGACTCTCATTCTTCCTTGAGGCAGCCTCCCCGAGAAAAGTTGTTAAATGGCGCCGCTAACAAGAAATCTGGCAAAGTACGAACTCTAGCTGTAGCTGGAAAGGATGAAGTTTTCCGCGATACATTGCCTTTGTGACAATATTGAGCCAAAGAAAGTATTGCCGAATTAGTACCAAGCGCAGATTACATCTACTTAGCAATCTGCCGATGTGCAGCAGTTGTTTAGAGGCTTGGCTGTGGACCCAGATGACGCGAGATCCATCCCGATCACGGCCGTCGCATTTCTATGGAGGCGAAATGCTGGGAGCCCTCGTCAGCGCAGG